ACCAAGTTACAACGAAAAAACCATTTCGGCTGTATTTCGGAGGGTTAAAAAAAAAAAAAAATTTTTTCCAGAACCCTCTCAACATAATCTTTAAATTTAGGGGCGGACATTAGCAACTTTTTTTTTCGACCCAGTCTAATGTACACTAGACTGCATCAATCTTATTATATTATTATCATTTATATTTTAAGACATGCGCCAAAATATTTCGGAGAAAATATTAAAATCTAAAAATTTGGCTTTTTATGAATAAAAATAGTTTTTTTAAGTATCACCTCAGGTGATAAAAAATTCGCATAGAAATATTTAAAAAAAAAATTCTACGGAATCATAATAATGACATTTTTATGCTGTTTTTGAACTTTTTTCAAAGATTGGTTCAAGATAAACTTGAATAACTAGCCAAAACTTTACCAATTTAGACTTGTGAGGTATCGTTGAGAAAGTATTTTCTCATCCTTTTTATTTCTTTTGGGCGTATTTTCAAATCGGCCCAGCTCACTTAAATCTTAATATTTTTCTGAAATATTTTTGTGGAGGTCTTGAAATATGATAAATTTTGTAATCCGAGCGGAAAAACCGCAACTTTTTTTTTGTGATGCAGTCTAATGTACATATGTACATATGTATGTATGTAGGTTGAGAAAGTGCAAAAACAAGTATAAATGCTTCGGCGGTCACACTGCCCGCTAACAGTAATTTGTTGCTATTCAAAGCGTTTGGTTGGCGTTTTATTTAAAGTTTAATTTTTATTTCTTAGTGTTTAATCAAATTTTAATAAAAGAAACCACACACAAAAAATACCAAAAAAAAATGTTCACCGTTATCGCCGTACTCGTAGTCAGCACGCTAGTCGCACTACTCACCTACGTCTATGCCAAGTATGGACGTCTATACTCATTAGGTCGCCGATTTCGCGGACCACCAGCGCTGCCCATCATTGGCAATGCGCTACTCTTCCTAGACATTCAGCCAGACGAATTTATCAGCCGCTGCCTGGCGATGATCAAAGAATATGGAAAAACATTCCGCCTTTGGTTGGGCCCCGATCTCAATATTATTATGCACGATTTCCGCGACGTTGAAATTTTGCTCAGCTCCCCAAAGTTTACCACAAAATCGGATCAATATCGCTTCTTGAAAGACTGGTTGCATGATGGTCTGCTACTGTCGCATGGACGCAAATACCAACAACGACGAAAGCTAATAACACCTGCATTCCACTTCAAGATGATGGAAGGTTTTTTGAACTGCTTTCACGAGCATTCCGGGGTGTTGGTGAAGCAAATGAGAAAGATATGTGCTGAAAGGCGGTCGTTTGAGCTGCTGCATACGGTGGGTGTCTGTATGTTGGATACAATTTGTGGTAAGTGATTGCGTGGAAGCGGAGTGAGTGAAAATATTGAATCATTTGTGGCCTTTTGCTTTTTTTGATGTGATGTGCTAGGGATGTTAATTTTTTCGACTTTTGCGATCAACATATGTATTGTGGAATAAAAGAAACGCCTTATTTCAACCAGTTAAGTCTATATTTCTTTTGTTTATTTAATATAAAATTTTTTTTTATAAAGGTCTACCTCATTTTACATACAATTAACCGCATTTAAATGCGCATTTCAAAATTTGTACAAAAATTATGAAAATACAAAAAAAAATTGCCAAAATTTCAAAGTTTTTACTCGGCATTTTTAGAAAAATTTAAGGTACGCAGTTTTATAACCCATTAAATTAAAGTAGTAGTTACAAAATACGGTTGATTTTTGGGAATTTTTTAAACGATGCTGGGCATTTAAACAAATTCCATATAAACAAATTGTCGAACATACTTACTATTATTATTATTATTATTATTATTATTATTATTATTATTACTTTTAAAATTGCGTACCTAAAAATTCTGAGTAAAAAGATTGAAAAAGGTTGAAACAAAAAAATTTCAAAACACACCAAGCAATCAA